TAAGTTTAGCATTCTATTCGAAGAAGACATAACACAAACCCTCCTTAAAAATCTTTATTTGCAAAGGTATTTTGCATCAATTTAGAAATGAAATTTGAAAAACGCAAATAATAATAATAATAAAATAATTTCGCTTCACCGAAAACTTTTTCAATATCATTATTTGATGGTAAAATATTATCATCGTTTTTTTTTAAAATAATTATAGAACTCTAATCAGAATTTGAAATTTTATAAGTTCAAAACAAATTTTACATATTTTAGATTCTCTTTTTTCCTAGGTTTTGGGAAAGGAGTATTTATTTATTTGACTTTCAATTGGGGTTTCATTAAATTCAAGTATAATAACAAAAATAGAAATAATAAAAATAGCAAAAAGCTTGTTCTATGATCATTAAAATCCATGATTCGATATTTCCTTTTACTAGCCATTAAAGTAAATGGGGACTAAAACGAAATTACGAACATGGCCATTTGAAAAATCACGGGGTTTGTTATATGGAAAACTTACAATTTTATCCCCCTAAAAGTTACGGTTATAATAATCAACCACCACTAGTTTGAAAGCTTAAAAAAACCTCAAAAAAAAAAAAATAATAATAATAATAAATAAATAATTTAAAGTAAATATTGGGGGACAATTTTGCCATTTGATACGGATTAAATGAACACACATAGCTCCTCAAATCTTAACACTTGGGGGTCGCTAGTAATTTTACAAACTAATGGTAGTTGAAAAATTTAATCAAAACCTTGGGGTTTTCAAAATTTCCTCATTGAATTGGAACACCTCTACAAAAAAAAAATGAATTATTTCATTTAACCCTTTTAGGGTTAGGGTGACCCCAAAATTCCACCAAAATTTCAATAGTATTTAAGTAAGGTTTGTTGAAATTTTAATAATAATAAGCAACAGAACAGCAGCAGCAAAACAGTGGAAGAACAACAACAAAATAGCAGAAGAACACAGTAATACAACAGCAATACAATAGTGAGAACAGCGGGAAAAACAGCAATACAATAGTGAGAATAGCAGGAAAACAGCAGCAAGAATAGTAGGAAACCAACAACAAAACACTAATGATATAGCAGTGAAACATCAATGAACACTGCAGCTAAACAACAGCAAAACAACAATGATGCAACAGCATCAAGGCGTGCAAAAGCACTGTCCTTAAGATCAGAATTCCGCCCCTACTGGAAGAATCTTTGTAGTGCAAAAAAGCTCAACAGCGGACTGACCTCTAGGATACAATAACGAATCTCTTTTTAGAGTGCACTCTCTAAGAGAGATTTAGAACAGTATAAGATAAAATAGAAGTGGTGAAAGAGAGCTGGAAGTTATAAAAATGTAGAGGCAAAATGAATTCTCTAGAGTAGGAAAATTGTCTCTGCATAAAGGAGAATAAAACACCCCATTTTTATACTTGCCTCTTACATGTAACAACCATTTTTTTTTTTTTTAATTATTAAGATTGAAACTGCCCAGCCTTTATAATAGCCATTTTAAATTAAAAAAATGAAACTGCCCCAACCATGATTTGAATTGTAAAGTAACCGAAGCAATTGCAATTACATTCAAGTCATAACAGTCTAAAATTTTAATTACAATCAAAAAATTGTTATTTTGAAATATCATAACAACCCAGCTATAATAACAATCCCCCACATATTTTAAAATAACCAATCACCACTGATTATAGAATTTAATGTTTATAAGTTAGTGTCTTTCGGACTATGAACCAATCATTGAGTAACTAAATGTAAGTTACATAAATTTGGTGAAACTAAGTTTCTATGAACAAAAAATTTCTTTATGTAATTCAGAGGATTAGTTCCTCACACTAAATTCTATACATTGTATACTGTTCTGCGATTTAGCACTTTATGGCCCTGTGCTAGCTTGGATTTCATGAGTGCTCTAGAGATGCCTGCCTAAGCTCTCATAGGGATCGACCCAATTCCACACTCACATAAGTGAACCTCCATAAGGTGTGAATTGCAGTTTTTCACACCACTATTTAAGTTGGCTATGGATTTCATTAAGAGTAATTTTACTCAACCTTATTCACGATAGTCAGTATTATCTCGCCATAGGGAGGACTTTCTATAGATAAAATTTGATAATACTTATCAAGACAACAAGTGACTTGTTATTACCCTTATGAACCTACTTCCTGGGATCTCCAATCACATAGGTAGGGTTACCATCACTTTTACCTTATGCTTTAGGCATAAGTCCCATCCCCCTCGAAGTGTATTCCACTAACCTGCTACTTAGTGGTTTAGTCAGAGGATCGGCCAAATTTAACTCTGACTTCACAAAATCTGGGCTCACTACCCTAGATTCTAGCAACTGCTTTATAATGGTATGTCTTATTCGGATATGTTTGCTTTTCCCATTATAAATGTTGCTCTTTGCTCTTGCTATTGCAGTCTGACAATCACAATGGATTGATACTAAAACATGAGGGTGAGTTTCAATGGGAAGATCTGCTAAGAAATTCCTTAACCACTCAGCCTCAAAATATGCCTTTTCTAAGGCGATAAGCTCAGACTCCATGGTAGACCAAGCTATGCAAGTTTGTTTGGAAGACTTCCATGACATAGCACTTCCACCAAGTGTAAAGACATAACCACTTGTGGATTTTATTTCATCTGAATCTTATATCCAATTGGCATCGGAATATCCTTCTAATACAAGTGGTGTACTTCCAAACGTTAGCCCATAATCAATGGTGCCCTTCAAATATCTAGCAACTCTATCTAATGTTATCCAATGACTCTTATCAGGAATATGAGTATACCTACTCTATCTAGTGACAGCATAAGCAATATCAGGCCTCGTACTATTCATTAAGTACATAAGGCTACCAATGATTTGAGCATATCTATTTTAACTCACACTGTGTTGTGTATTTTTCTTAAGTTGTGTATTTCCATCATAAGGAGTTGAGACGGGTTTACTGTCTAAATACCCAAATTTTCTTAAGAAATTTTCAACATAGTGTTGTCGTGATAACTTAAGACCATCATTTATCTTAATGATTTTAATCCCAAGAATAACATTTGCCTCTCCCATATCTTTCATATCAAAATTTGAGGCAAGAAACTCTTTAGCCTTAATTATCACATCCACATTAGCACTAAATATTAACATGTCATCAACATAGAGACATATTATCACATAAGTATTGTCTTCAAATTATTTAGAATATACACATTTATATGAATCATTAATTGTATAACCATTTGAGACTAACACTTGGTCAAACTTCTCATGCCATTGTTTTGGTGTCTGTATAAGTCCATAAAGATACTTCACTAGTTTGCACACTTTATACTCATTACCTGGGATAACACAACCGTCTGGTTGTTTCATATAAATTTCTTCATCCAGGTCTCTATTAAGAAAAGTTGTCTTTACATCCATTTGATGTACATGTAATTTGTAAATTGCAATTAAAGAAATTAACACTCTAATTGATGCTATTCTTGTTACAGGAGCATAAATGTCAAAATAATTTATATCTTTCTTTTGTGCATAACCTTTGGCAACCAATCTTGCCTTGTTTTTATCAATTGATCCATACAGTCTTTAATTTCTTTTTAAATATCCATTTGCACTGTATTGGTTTAGTTCCTGGAGGCAAATTAACTACTTCCCATGTATGATTACTCATAATGGACTCAATTTCATTATTTATTGCCTCTTTCCAAAAGGATGCATCACAAGAAATCATTGCTTCTTCATAAGTCTAAGGATCATTCTCTGTAAGAAAGACATAGTAATCAGCACCAAAACTTTTGGCTTTTCTTATTGTCTTACTTCTCCTTATTTCTAACTTTGAACTTTCAGAAGAATTCCGAAGAGTTTCATTTTGAGGAGAACTCTCCAAAGTTTCATTTTGAGGTAAAACCTTTTCACAATTGATTTTCTTAGGAAAAACATTCTCAAAGAAATTTGCGTTTTTAGATTCAATGATTGTGTTTGCATCATACAAATCAACCTCTTACTTTATTACCATGAATCTATAAGCAGCACTATTTTGAGCATAACCTATAAACATACTATCAATAATTCTAGGTCCTAACCTTTTCCTTATAGGTTCAGGAACTAGGACTTTAGCAAAACACCCCCACACTTTAAAATATTTTTCCAGACTTCATACGGTATTTTGCCTGTTTTCTTAAAAGGAATTCTGTTTTGTATGTAACAAGCTAAAAGCATTGCTTCTCCCCACAAATTAAAAGGTGCTCCAGAAGTAATCAATATAGCATTCACCATTTCTTTTAAAGTTATGTTTTTCCTCTCAGCAACTCCATTTGACTATTGAGAATAAGGAGGTGTAGTCTCATGTATAATACCATGATCTCTACAAAAGGAATCAAAGTCATTTGACTCATATTCACCTCCTCTATCCGTTCTTAACCTTTTAATTTTCTTATTAAGTTGATTTTCAACTTCATTTTTATAAGTTAAAGAACATTTTAGTTGCTTCATCTTTACTTCTCAATAAGTATACTTTAGTATATCTAGAGTAATAATCAATAAAAGTTATGTAAAACTTTTTTCCTTCTTTGGTCATGGTTTGTTTCAAATCTCTAAGATCACTGTGAATTAAACCGAGATACTCATTTTCTCGTTCTAGAACTGGTTTACAAGTCTTTTTAGTGGATTTAGATTCCACATACACATCACATTTATCAATATTTGAAATATTGACATTTGATAATAAACCAAGTTCTTTCATCTTTTTCAAATAACCATAATTCACATGACCTAATCTATCATGCCATAAATCTATTGAATCAATAATATAAGTAGAAGAAGATGCATTTTCATTCATAATAACATTAAGTACATTGAGTTTAAATAACTCTCCAGAACAATACCCTTTCCCAACAAATGCCCCATTCTTGGACATTACAGTTTTGTCACCCTCAAAGGAGACTTTTACTCCAGCCTTTCTCAATACATAAACAGATACAAGATTATATCAAATATTTGGTACATGTAAAACATTACTCAGTGAGAGGGTTTTCCCATAAGTAAGTTTGAGAAGAATTTTCCCCTTTCCCAAAACAAGAGTAGAACGGGAATCACCAAGGTAAACACATTCTTCTCCATCCCTCACTGGTATGTATTCATAGAAAGAATTTCTATCTCCACAAATATGCTTTGTGGCCCTAGAATCAATTATGCATTCTTTCTTTTCAGCAATCATGTTCACTTGTGAGACAACCACAGTAGAAATAACATCATCTCCCTCAGCCAGATTGGCTTTTCTGTATCTGCATTGGCTAGCAAAATGTCCAGTTTTCCCACACACAAAACATTGTCCTTTCTTTTTGAAACTGTTGGGGTTTTTGTTGTTAAACAGTTTTTTGTTATTGTTCTTAAAACTCTGTGGTTTCTTATTCTTAGGTTGAGGAGGAGCCACTTGGTTTTCAATAAAATTAGCCTTTGATGTCAATTCCTTAGCCTTATCGGCTTTATCTCTAAGTCTATTCGTCTCCTCAATCCTAATATGTACTATCACATCGTCCAAGCTCATTTGCTTCCGCTTATGTTTCATACTATTCTTATAATCTCTCCATGAATCCAGAAGTTTCTCAATTAAACAGCCAGCCACAAAAGTTTTAGGAAGAATTATTTCTTCATTTATCAATAAATGATAGTCATGAACTTGCATGGATACCTCTTTTTCTTCTACCATTTTAAAATATAGGAAGTTTCCTATAACATATTTTTGTGATCCAGCATCCTCAACAACATATTTCTTTTTCAGGATTGTCCATATCTCATGTGCAGTCTTATAAGCACAATAAACATCATAAAACTAATTTGATAATGTACTGAGAATAGTATGACGACATACCTTATTTCCTTTATTCCATGTATCAAGTTTTTTGTCAAAATTGTCCACTCCAGGTTTTGGTTCTTCTGTTGAGAGATATTTTGCAAAACCGAGCACATCCAGGAAGTCGAATACTTTTTCTTGCCACCTCTTGAAATGAGCTCCAACATAATGCTCAATTTTGGAGATGTCGAGAAGTGATTTGGCAGTGAGAATTGCAACGTCCATCTCGGAAATTCCTAATCTTAAGATTGTTGAAATTTTAATAATAATAAGCAACAAAATAGCAGCAGTAAAACAGTGAAAGAACAGTAATAAAATAGCAGTAAAATAACAGCAATACAACAGTGAGAATAATAGGAAAAATAGCAATGAGAATAGCAGGAAACAGTAGCAATACAACAGTGAGTACAGCAGAAAAAATAGCAAGCAAGAAAACAGTAGCAAGACAACAACGAGAATAGCATGAAACCAACAGCTAAATAGTAACGATACAGCAGTGAAACAACAACGAACACTGCGGCGAAACAACAGCAAAACAACAACGATGCAGCAGTGTCAAGGCATGCAAAAGTACTGTCCTTAAGATCAGAATTCCGCCCCTTTTGGAAGAATCTTCGTGGTGCAAAAAGGCTCAACAACGGACTGACCTCCAGGATACAATGACAAATCTCTTTTTAGAGTGCACTCTCTAAGAGATATTTAGAGCAGTATGAGATAAAATAGAAGTGGTGAAGGAGAGCTGGAGGTTATAAAAATGTAGAGGCAAAATGAATTCTCTCAAGTAGGAAAATTGTCTCTGCATAAAGGAGAATAAAACACCCNAAGACCATGATCTCTACAAAAAGAATCAAAGTCATTTGACTCATATTCACCTCCTCTATCCGTTCTTAACCTTTTAATTTTCTTATTGAGTTGATTTTCAACTTCATTTTTATAAGTTAAGAATATTTTAATTGCTTCATCTTTACTTCTCAACAATTATACTCTAGTATATCTAGAGTAATCATCAATAAAATTTATATAGAACTTTTTTCTCCTCTGGTCATGGTTTGTTTCAAATCTCCAAGATCACTATGAATTAAACTGAGAAGCTCAATTTCTCGTTCTAGAACTAGTTTACAAGTCTTTTTAGTAAATTTAGATTTCACACACACATCACATTTATCAATATTTGAAATATTGACATTTAATAATAAACCAAGTTCTTTCATCTTTTTCAGATAACCATAATTCACATGACTTAATATGTCATGCCATAAATCTATTGAATCAATAAAATAAGCAAAAGAAGATGCATTTTCATTTATAATAACTTTAAGTACATTAAATTTAAATAACTCTCCAGAACAATATCCCTTCCCAACAAAAGCCCCATTCTTGGACATTACAATTTTGTCACTGTCAAATGAGACTTTCACTCCAACCTTTCCTAATACATAAACAAATACAAGATTATATCGAATGTTTGGAACATGTAAAACATTACTAAGTGAGAGGGTTTTCCTAGAAGTAGGTTTGAGAAGAATTTTCCCATTTCCCAAAACAGGAGTAAAGCGGGAATCACCAAGGTAAACACATTCTTCTCCATCCCTCATTGGTATGTATTCATAGAAACAATTTCTATCTCCACAGATATGCCTTGTGGCCCCAAAATCAATTATTCATTCTTTCTTTTCAGCAATCATGTTCACTTGTGAGACAACTACAGCAGCAATAACATCATCTCCCTTAGCCAGATTGGCTTTAGGAGGATTTCTGTTGTCTCCAGTTTTTCTGTATCTACATTGGCTAGCAAAATGTCCGGTTTTCCCACATACAAAACAATGTCTTTTCTTTTTGAAAGTGTTGGGGTTCTTGTTGTTAAACAATTTCTTGTTATTGTTCTTAAAACTCTACGGTTTCTTGTTCTTAGGTTGAGGAGGAACCACTTGGTTTTCAACAACATTAGCCTTAGATGTCAATTCCTTGGCCTTACGGCGTACCGGCTTTATCTCTATCCTAATATGTACCAGCACATTTTCTAAGCTCATTTGCTTCCGTTTATGTTTCATACTATTCTTATATTCTCTCCATGAATCTAGAAGTTTCTCAATTAAACAACCAGCCACAAAAGTTTTAGGAAGAATTATTTCTTCATTTTTCAAGTCATTTATCAATAAATGATAGTCATGGACTTGCATGGATACCTCTTTTTCTTCTACCATTTTAAAATCTAGCAAGTTTCCTATGGCATATTTTTGTGATCCAACATCCTCAACAACATATTTCTTTTTCAGGATTGTCCATATCTCATTTGCAGTCTTATAAGCGCAATAAACATCATAAAGCTCATTCGATAATGTATTGAGGATAGTATGACGACATACCTTATTTCCTTTCTTCCATGTGTCAAGTTTTTTATCAAAATTGTCTACTCTAGGTTTTGGTTATTCTAATGTGAGGTACTCTGCAAAACCGAGCACGTCTAGGGAGTCGAACACTTTTTCTTGCCACCTCTTGGAATGAGCTTCGACAAAGGGCTGAATTTTGGAGGAAGAGACTTGGCGGTAAGAATTGCAGCATCCATTTCGGCAGATTTCCCTTAAACTTCTGATCTTAAGATTGTTAAAAATTTATTACAAATTAACAGCAAAATAAGAGAAAATCTGGCAGTAAAATAGTGGAAGAACAACAGAAGAACAATAGAAAAATAGCAAGAAAATATCAACAAACACAGTAGTAAAACAACATACAACAGTGAAACAATAATGATACAGCAATGAAATAGCAACATCAAGGCGTGCAAAAGCATTGTCCTTAAGATCATAATTTCGCCCTTACTGGAAGAATCTTCATGGTGTAAAAAGGCTCAACAACGGACTAACCTCCAGGATACAATGACGAACCTCCTTTTAGAGTGCACACTCCGATAGAGGTTTAGAACAATATAAGACAAAGTAGTAGTGGTGAAGGAGAGTTAGAAAGAATAAGAGAGTGAAGAAAAAATGTAGAGCAACATACAAATTCTGTCAAGTGAGAAGATTGTGTGTTGAAAATAGAACCAACACCCCTTTTTATACTTGACAATTTCCAGTTTTCCCCTCTTAATTTTCCACATGTAACAGCCATTTTATTTAAATCAAAAATTGAAATAGCCACCAACTATTTAAAGCTCCAAAAAACTGTCATTAAGTTAATTGCATAACAGTCATTTTTTAAATTAAAAAAATTGAAACTGTTATTGCTTTAATTGCATAACAGTCCAAAAAACAATTAACACTTGGTATTTTGAAATACCATAATGACAGCTATTATCACACATATCTTATCCTTCTCCACATAGTGGTGGTGTTCTATCGTCATATCTTTCCCTTGAAGGGAATCAATTGTTAACTCGAATGATAACCTTCCCCAAGGATAAGAATTAAAGAATTCTAAGTTACTTACAAACCGCACCCAATCAAGGTTAACAACCTTCGTTAAGTCAGTAGCCATAAGGATAAAATATACAAACCATATCAAAAAAAAAAAAAAAAAATTAATTCTCTGGAGAAGTATAATTATTGACTTCCACATCTAACATCTCCTCTAAATCACGCGCCAAAAGAGACTGATGTCCCCCCAGAACCTTTCTTATAATTTTTTTGGCTGCCTTGCTCTTCTTGACCCTTTCTTTCATTTCTAGTTATGGAAATGGCCCAAAATTAAGGTTTGTCTTCAAAAAAAATTCTTTCATCCCTAAATGCAGTGGCTTTCTGTCCACCACAAACCACATTTCATTTCTCTTTTTGCATCTAACTGAGTGTAGCAATAGATAGTGTGCAGCCCGCCCCCAAAAGCCCTTATTCCAATTTTCACCTAAATCCATAAAATGACCGAAACAACTACTTCTGAACTGATCCATACCTTTGTTGTAGTCACCTAGAATCTCCTCAATTTTCCAAAAGACTTGCCAACTAAACCTTATCGTAACCCTTCCAGGGAAGTATGGTACATCACCCATAACAACCTAAAGGCCATATTCCTTAATATCTATGCTCTATAAACACTGCAGAACAGATAGATGTTGAATATAAACATAATACAATATTTAAAACATTCATTTGACATTTTACTTGTTCTTTTCTTCTTACACCTCCTGGCCGGACTTTTCGTCGATGTCATCGACTTTAGCAACATTCACAGGTGGGCTTGGTATCTTTTGGGTGCCCTGCGTCTGCTCCTCTACCAACGGGGTGTTCTATACGCTTTTTTCAGTCGTCGAAACTTGCTCTACCGCAACCTCTTCTTCTCCATTTCTGGAAGACCCGCTGCTGGCTACTATTTCAAGAGTGGCTAGGTTTTTGTGGGTTTCTTTGTTAATCTCTGAGATTGCACCAACGGGGGAATGGAGAAAGGGACGAGGGAAGCTTGAGAGAGGGAACATTGAAAAAAGGAATGATGGACGGAGAAAAAGAGAAGTATAATTATTGACTTTCGCATCTAACCTCTCCTCTAAATCACGCGCCAAAAAAGACTGTTGTCCCCAGAGAACCTTTCTAAGAAAATTTTTAGCTGCCTTGCTCTTCTTGACCCTCTCTTCCATTTCTGGTTTTGGAAATGACCCACAATTAAGGCCTATCATCAAACAAAATTCCTTCATCCCAGGACGCAGTGGCTTTCCGTCCACCACATCCACATTTCATTTCTCTTTTTGCATCTGACTGAGTGTAGCAAGCAGCCTGCCTCTAAAAGCCCTTATTCCAATTTTCACCTAAATCCATAAAATGACCTAAACAACTACTTTCGAACTGGTCCATATCTTTGATGTAGCCACCTAAAATCTCCTTAATTTTCCAAAAGACTTGCCAACTAGACCTTATCGTAACCCTTCCAAGGAAGTACGGTACATCATCCATAACAACTCGAAGGCCATATTCCTTAATATATATGCTCTTTACACTACGGAATAGATAAAAGTTGAATATAAACATAATACATTATTTAAAACATTCATTTAACATTTTACCTGTTCCTCCTCTTCTTCCTGTTAGAGTAGGTGCCCTAGAGCCAATTAATTATTGTAAGATTGACTCTGTAATAAATGTTTATTTATCAATAAAAGACATATTCTTCTATATCGTGTAAATCATAGTTATATGTAATGATATATGTCCTTAGGATGGTAGAACCGTGACGAGGGTATCAAGTGTTTCAAATCTTGATAGTGGGAACCCTATGATCATATATGGTGGCCATTCTAGAAA